AAGAGGGGGTAAACAACCCCCAACACCAAAATGACCTTAAGCAACTATAACAAGCATGAAAATACAGAACTTTTATCAGTTATACACTAAGCTCGAAACAATATGAAAATAGGTCTAAAGCCTTAAGTAAAAATGGGGAATAAAAAGGTAAGTTCTCACCCTTGAAGAGAACACCAACTATAGCACCTCTTTTTGATCAAAAGCCAACTCAAAACTCTGAAATCAACCCCTTAAAACCTCAGCAACCAAAGTATAGTGTAACACTAGGTGTCTTAGTGCAAACTAAGAATAAAAACCCCTTTTGAACACTATTACACACACAAATATAGAGAGAGAATGAGATATAGAGAGAGAGTGATATATATCATATATCACAGGTTGTTCAATCTCTGAAAAGGGAGGGGAGGCCCTCCTTTTATAGGAATTCAATTCCTGAGCTTCTTGGAGAAGCCAACACAAGGGAGCAAATCCCTCCATACACATGTATAGAGGGGGTGTATTGTGGATGCCAGCTGTGACAGCCGGCATGAAATATCTGTCAAAAGCAGATGGAAAGGGGTCAGCTGGAAAATATGGCTGATTAACCAACAATGGTCGGCCGACCAAAAACATTGCCGACCGACCAAAATCTTTGGCTAGTAGCAAGAAAACAAGGCCGGTGGCCTCAAGCCAAAGCCGGTGGGGTGTGGGGATGGCCAACAAGCCATTCCCTGCCTTGAGAAGAAAAAACACAAGTGTTTGGTGCACAACCAAGCACAAAACAAACAAGTCGAGAGGTCTTGAGGCAAGGCGCGCGACTGAAACCTCCGAGAACTCAAGACGAACACGAACATGGATGATCACCGAGTGTTCAAACGGTGATGTCCAAGTGTTGAGGACAGTCAAAAATGGGGTGTCTACATCTATGGACAAAGTTTTAAATTGCTTCCGTTTGGCCCCCATTAAATCTGTTAAAATACGTTTGGTTTGGTTTGAGGTTGTAGGTAATCTCATGATTATTGGCCGGTTATGTCCTTAACCCACGGGGGCGGGTTCGGGTCATGACAATCTTAGTGCACAGAAGGTGATGCCTAAGTTGATGAATGAGATCATGGAGGCCTAGAAGTACGATCAAGAGGTAGCCTACATCAAGGGACGTCTGGAATTAGGAGAACCAATGCTCAATTGGGTAATTCACCTCGATGGGAGTTTAAGATACGTATGTGCCAAGTAACGAGTTGCTCAGAGAAAGGGTACTTAAGGAATGTCACCACTCTGTATTTGCGGTACATCCAGAAGGGACTAAAATGTACCAAGATTTGAAGCGGCAATATTGGTGGAATGGAATGAAGAAGGAGGTGGCTAAATTTGTAGCAAAATGTCTAACATGCCAACAAGTGAAGGCGGAACATCAAAAATCAGGGGGAATGTTGCAACCTCTACCAATAGCCGAATGGAAATGGGAGTATGTGACGATGGACTTTGTGACAGGGTTGCCTAAGACACCTAGAGGGCGCAATGCTATATAGGTAATACTGGATCGCCTCACCAAGTCAGCACATTTCTTACCCTATAAGATAAGCGACACTTTAGAGTCTATGTGCAAGCTCTACATTGGGGAGATCATTCGACTACATGGAATTTCGGTATCTATTGTGTCAGATCGTGATGCACGATTCACCTCTCGATTTTGGGGGAGTCTGCAGGAAGCTCTTGGTATTGCGTTATGTTTTAGCACCGCCTTTTACCCGCAAACAGATAGACAATCTGAACGCACCATCTAGACACTCAAAGATATGTTGAGAGCTTGCACAATGGATTTTCAAGGAAGTTGGGAACGACACCTACCTTTAATTGAATTCTCCTATAACAACAGCTTTCAAGCTAGCATCGGTATGGCGCCTTTTGAAGCATTATATGGACGACCTTGTAGATCGCCGATTTGTTGGACTGAAGTGGGTGATGCAGATCTGATCAAACCTGAACTTGTTCTAGAAACTACTGAGAAGGTCAAATTGATCCGACAACGGTTAAAGACTGCTCAAGACCATCAAAAGAATTATGCAGATAAGAGGAGAAGGGTATTGATGTTTGAAGTAGGAAGCCACATGTTCCTAAAGGTGCAACCTAGGCGTGGAGTCGTACGTTTTGGGAGAAAGGGGAAGCTATCTCCACGATATATTGGGCCTTTTGAGGTATTGGAAAGGGTGGGCGAAGTGGCATACAGACTAGCTCTACCCCCGCAGTTAGGAGGGATACACAACGTCTTCCATGTATCTATGTTGTTGAGAAAATACATCGCTAACCCGTCACACGTCCTCAAATGGGAAGAAATCAGTCTTGACAAAGATGTTACATTTAAAGAAGGACCAGTAGCAATACAAGATTTCTCCAAACTAGCTAAACCAAAAATGTCTAACGAGTCACAACAAGAAGAAGCAACAAGAACAAGAATAGAATGTTTATGTGTAAAAACATGGATTTATGTGTAAAAACAGGAGATTAGAATATTTAAAAAAGGGGGACTAGAATGTTTTAAAACATGGGATTATATAAAAGAGGGTTTATACATTTTGAAGTATGTAAAATGTGTTTTACAAGGGTTTTTTTTTTTTTTTTTTTTTATGAAAGTGTTATTGAAATGGTATGATATATACAAAATATCAAAGAATAATGTACAAATTTGAATAAAAAATAATAGGTGAAGAGAGATGTTACTTTTTTTTCACCATTTCTATGAATAAGAAGTCAAGAACTATGAAATTTCTTTAGAGTCGTGATGGTTCTTCGTGTTGTTGAGAGTCGCCAATTGGAGAAGATGAACGGCTTGGTGTTGTGTTAGTAAGAGTCGACGATTGGAGAAGATGAACGGGTTCGTTTTGTGGTTAGGACTGGGTTTCAGAGGTAGTGGAGTCGAACGGTGGAGAGATAGAGGATTGAGAATGCAGAGTTGAGCGGCGGAGATGTGACAGTGTACTGATCAGACTGAGATGATCGTGGATGAAGGTTGCGTGCGTGTAAATTGGATGATATGTGTGGGTATTTTCGTCTGATTGATAATTTGAGGACTTAATAGAGTATTTAATTTGTTTTGAGGCTAAATGGGACATAATATGTTGGGCTTGGACCTTTGGGTTAGTTGCCCTAATTTAAACTATTGAGATGGATTCAAAATGAGCCCATAGTAAATCGGACAAGACAATTCATTTGACTTGCCAATCAAAGACCATCCAAACCATACATCTTTATAGCAAAAAATACTTCAAAGATATTTTTCTACATTACATACGTTGCAATATACTTTTCAAAATAACTTTGTATATATGCACACTTAAATATACATATAAACTTTTTTAAGGGTAATTATTAAAAAAAAAAATCTTAGAGTATTACAATTGTAACAAAATAAATTTTTAATTTTTAATTTTATCAATTTAAACCATAATCTTTTGATTTGTTATCAATTTAAATCATTTGTCTATTTTTATTAAGTAAAATTGACAAAAAATAGTGTTTTTGTTATTAAACTCAATGAAAAATGATATTTTAGATATTTTACATTCACTTACATTTAATTTAATGACTAAAATACTAATTTTTAGTCGATCTTACTCAATGAAAATAGACAAATAATTTAGATTAAAAAAAATCAAAAAATTATGATTTAAATTGACAAAATTAAAAACTCATAACTTTTCTTTTTCTTTTTCTTTTTTTTGTAATTACCTCAAAATTTTAAATTAAAATTATGACATATATTTATTTAAGTTAAATTTTTATAGCACAAAAAATGCTAAAATTATTCACTAAGCAATACACTTTTATAAATAATTCAATTAAATTTATTTTAAGAAAAAAAATATTATATCCTACACATATTAAAGATCAACTGCTAATTAATATAGTTGCAAAATTCAAATTGGACAAACTCATCACAAAAATCCAATTGGTCAATTGAAGTGGTCATTTTATATATTTTTATAAATATAAATAATTATTTAAAACAAAATATTTTGCCAGATTTTCTTGGTTTTTGTCTTTCAATGGTCTTCATATTTCTCTCAGATTATATGTTTAAGTTGTTCGGTGAGTTTTTTTTTTTTTTTTTTTTCAAAAAAAAATAATTTAGAGAATTGACACACTTTTCAAATTATTTGTAAAATTAATTTACTTTTTGAAATCACATTTTGAACATGTAGTTTCATTTTGAAATCGCATTACATGTTGAAAATATAATTTTATGATAATATGAATTTACTAAGATATATTACATTTTCAACCTACGATTTCAAATTGAACTTGTATGTTAAAAATATAATTTTTAATTTAAAATTACATTTTCAAAATATAATTTTAAAAAACAAGTTAGTTTTTCAAATAATTTAAGAAATGAGTCAATTCTTTAAATTATTTTTTTTAAATATTAAAAAAAACTCGTTGTTTGGTAGGTTAATATTTTAATTATATTTGATTTTTTATAATTATGTTAATTAATTTGATAATTATAAAAAAATAAAATAAATTTAGGGGGATGCACCAATAAATCCCAAATTAATAACTTATACACTGTTTAGTCCTAAAAGTTTTCTTATAGACTAAAAGGTCCCATTACAATGTTTCAAACATCAGATTAATGTTTCAAACATTAGATTTCAAACATCTATGTTCATCAGATTTCAATAATGTTTGAAATTATAGGATGAATGTTTCAAAGATTAGATTTCAAACATCTAATGTTCATCAGATTTCAATAAATTTTGAAATTATAGAATGAAACATCAGATTCATTTACATCATGAACATCATGATGATGTATAAAATGGGACTAAATGAAGCATAAGAAAATTTTTAAGACTAAATGGTTCAACTTTTCAGAAACTAGGATTTATGGGTAAATTTTCCATAAATTTAATATTTTATCTTTTTAATTTATTTTATTTTTAATGAGTTATTTTATCCCTCAGCAAATAAGCCATTGAAAAGTCTTGAACCCTACATACAATACATACCCTATATATATTCCCATTTTCTGAAACCGACCTAGTTTGTTTAGAAGGAGAAGGAGAAGCAAATATGCCAGGGTTAAGCTGCAACGCGTGCAACAAAGAATTTGAAGGAGAATCGGATCAGAAGCTCCATTACAAGTCCGAATGGCACCGCTACAACCTCAAACGCAAGGTCTCAATTCCTTCCTTTTCTTCTCTTTCTCATATTCCTTCCTACTCTTCCTCTTGTTTTTATTCAATTCTGTTATCCTTTCTCTATTGTTGTCTATTGCATCACTAGTTTCTATGGAATTTTTCATTTGTTGTTTGGGGCTTCATGTATTTACATACATCTTCAGTTGCCTTTCTTTTGGAGTTATAAGGCTATCTCCAGCCCTTTCTATAAATTTTACTCAATTTTGAGTAAAAATCTCATATTTATGAATAGATTTGAGTAAAAGCTTCACTAATGATAACACTATATTTGGAAACTTAGGAGAGAAAAGAAATGAAATGATTGTGATTTTTATCTTTTTTGTTTGGTTAGATTTCACTAGAGAAAAGAAAAGAAATTGTTTTATGTTAGAATACCAAATTAATATGAAAAGCCCTTGAGGACATGGTGTTAATCATTTTATTTCTTTTATTTTTACATGGACAAAATTGGTATTATGAAAATATAAGAATATGTTGATTTTTTTTATCTCTCAATCTCTCCACTTTTGGAAGATTGAAAATGAGGGTTATAAGAGAAATAAGTTTCTTCCCCGTTCTCTCCATTTTTCTAAACTTAAATTATCCAAACAAGTAAGAGAAATACATATCTCCACATTTCTTTTCTTTTCTTTTCTCTCCAAATCACTCACTTCAAACATAGTGTATGAGTGGTCAATTTGAGACCCACAAAATAGCCTTGAACATTTGAGTCTCCCCCTTTATGCTTGGTTGAGGGAAAAATCATGTCTCTTCTATAACTGTGAGGTAGTCTTGAGGGAGTTTTATGTTTCTATTTGGGTGTTTATGGGACTATCCAAGATTATGGAAAGGTTGGTGGGATGAGCTAGTTAGTTTGTATAAATTTTGTTATCCTAATTGGTGTGTGGGAGGTAATTTCAATGTTATGAGAGATTTTGATACATTTATTAGATAGTGCAATTTGATTTATCCTCCGTTATTGAATGCATGATTTACTTGGTTAAATCTTCAGGCAAGGTTGGTCTATAATAGATTGGATAGATTTTAATTTTTGTTGCAAGAGATGGAGAGATTTCCAATTGTTAGACAAGATGCTTTTCCTAGAGCTGTTTATAATCATTGCCTTGTGGTCTTGGAAAGTTGTCTATGTTTAAATCATGTGTTAGAATAAATTTAATAACAGTTCAGTACAACCTCTCCATGTGCGTACTCTTCATGCTTATCAGCAAAAGGTGTACTTGAGGTGCACACCTTAGATTGTGATGCACAAGCTTATGGGGAGTGTCACCTAAAAATCAAAGTTCCGTTGTGTTTTTCCTTAGCGTCACCTCAAGGCAAGTATTGCGGCAAGCCTCGAAAAAGCCCTTTAAAACTTTTTGTACACCCTAAGAAGAGGAGCCCAGCCGCTTATGAAGGAGGAGACCACCATCTTCAATGAGAACACCATGTTGGATACTTGGAAAATCAGCTATTCTTGCTTGGAGATGTCTCCATGAAACTTCAACATCCCTAATCTCGAGATAGAAATTCCTATTTATTCCCTAGTTTCCAATTCAATCGTTTTTGGTCATATTTCGCATAATTGACTTGAAATTACCACACTTCCGCATTTATCTCTGCCCGGGTGGAGATCGGGCTCCACTTGGGCACACATGGGCATTTGCTTCATCTTGAAATTCTGAAATATCTTAACTGGAGACCTCCAATTGGGCAGACATGTACAGTAGCCAAACTCCACAGCCCCTCTCTTCTAGAAGCCACGCTCAGATGTATGTGGCGGTGCACCCAGGCGGAGAAGAGTAGTGGTCTTTTCTCTTTTGTTCTTCTTTGCGTCCCTAGTTGCCTTAACACTCTAGCCCTAATATGAAGCCTGTACGAGGATCCAAGAAACCCTGAACACATTGAAACACAATTAATATTATCAAGCAACACTGATTGAAAACATATCATATGCAGGTTTCTTGCCAAGAAAGAAAACACACACACCCACACACCCACACACACACCCACACACACACATGCAAGTTAAAGGGCCTATATGTGTCTATTGTGGCTCCGAACAGTCCACTCCTTTTAACATTTCTTCTTCTCGTTGTTGTTGGTTGTTAGTCGTTAGTCGTTTAGCATTATTTTTATCATTACTGTTATTTGACTTTTTGGATGGATGACATTATTTGGCAAGTCTATGCTGAAATTTAATGAAGTCATCATGATTATTCCTTCATCGATATGGTCCCCTAGCTTGGACACAACACAAGTGATCATGTAACTAAGTTTGGCTGCACACTTGCATTTCAATAGTAGATATACTAAATGAGCTTGCTTTATTTGGCAATTTTGACTCTATTTTTTATTTTATTTTTTTTTAAATTTAAAGTACATATTTTCATTCTGTATTTTGTTTCGCATGTTGCTAATCAGGTTGCTGGAGTTCCGGGGGTGACAGAAGCGCTCTTTCTGGCTAGACAATCCGCACTTGCGGAAGAGAAAAATAAGTCTAATGAGACTCCTATGCTCTATAGTTGTGGTCTCTGCAACAAAGGATACAGAAGTTCCAAGGCTCATGCTCAACACCTAAAATCACGAAGTCATGCGACATTGGCTTCCCGAGGAATGAGTGATTCAGATGATAGGAGTGCTATAATTAGGCCCCTCCCGCCCCGTGTTGTAAATAAGCTTCCCCAACAAAGAGCGCAATATGACGAAGATAGTGAAGAATCTGATGAGTGGGAGGAGGTTGATCCAGAGGAAGATTTGGTTGGTGAAGCCACAGATAGTTTGTCTCATTTGGGTGTGAATGAGCACACCACCAATGTTCATATGGATGATGATGACAATGAGTATGAGTTGGATCCATCATGCTGCTTTATGTGTGATGTAGAGCATGATACAATAGAGAGCTGTATGGTTCACATGCACAAGCAACATGGCTTCTTCATACCTGATGTGGAATATCTGAAAGATCCAAAAGGCCTTCTTACTTATCTCAGCCTCAAAGTAATATGTTTTCTGATTGTACTTTCTGGTTCAGAGACCAGTTTTGTTTATATTTGATGACATTATTTCTACTTTTTACTTGTAAAACTCGGTTTACATATCCCGCTTTACCGTCATCCATTCTTCAGGTTAAAAGGGATTTCTTGTGTTTGTACTGCAATGAGAGATGCCATCCTTTCAACAGCTTGGAAGCAGTTAGGAAACATATGGCAGCAAAAAGTCATTGCAAAGTGCATTACGGTGATGGTGGGGATGACGAAGAAGCAGAGTTAGAAGAATTTTATGATTATAGCAGCAGGTACCTTTCTTTTGTTGTTATTGTCTTTTTTATTTTTACTTTTTTTCCATTTTTGAGAATTTGGTTTCACCGCTGATTACATTTGTAACATCTTTTTTATTAAAGTATCATCCATATGATATCTAAGGTGGTTGTTTCCTTTGTTATAGTTATGCGGACACAAATGGGAAGCAACTGGTTGAAGCCAATGATATGAGCAATACAGTTGATCTTGGAAGTGGTGGGTCTGAGCTCATAATAACTCAGAGAACTGATGGCAGAATATCAACCAAAATGCTTGGATCTCGTGAATATTTGCGCTATTACCGTCAAAAGCCACGCCCATCACCTACAAATGGCATTGCCATCACTGCTGCTCTGGCCTCAAGGTTCAACTCTGATCTCTCTTTATTAGGCTTCTTTAAAAGAAAAGTGCATCCTTGTCCCATATGGAATTTCCTAAGAAAGAGAAGAATTACAACCAACTCTGTTTTGTGACTAATTTTGTCTCTAGCTAGTGTCTCATGAATAAACATCATAATAGGAATGAAACCGATTCAAAAGATGACCCTACCGAGAATACTTTTATTTCCTAGAGGCACTAGTCCTAAGGACCACTCTATGAAGGTAATCACTTGTACATGTGAGTGCCTTATTTAGGGAGTTTGGAAACAGTAATGACTGTTCTCATTCATTTGCATCCATGTGTCTAAACACCAGTTGATCACTCTGAATTTGTTTTCTTCTTGGTGTCTTGTTATCGAACACTTTTAAGACACTGTTAACACGCTTAAACTGGTTGTACATTTTCTATAAAAATGTGGTCAGAAAATGTACAATCATATGATACTTTGTTAACCAATATTCTTGAAACACTCGATAGCAAAAGCAGCTTCCTTTTTTCATCTGCTTCAGCTTTCTATAATTCCTTGGGGCGGTCATAGTCATAGCATGTACACAACAAATATTAATTGGAAAAAGGTATCGAAGTAATGAAAGAAAATTGGAAAAAAGGAAAGACAAGAATAAACAAAGAGAAAAATGGAAAAGAGAAATGAGATAAATAAATGAAAAGTGCAATAGTGACACGGAGAAACCATGTTTTGATTTGCTCAGGTATCGAAGTATGGGATTGGCAACAGTGCAGTCAAAGGAGCAGATGGTGAGGATGAAGGTTATGAAGGAGATGAACCGATCAGGGGTGGAGGCCATGCGCTCTAAGATGGGCATGAAGAGTAATGTCATTCGTAACCTCCCCAAGAATGTTACATATTAGTCCTTTTCCTTGGGCGAAAATCAACGTCACATTTGGTTATTTGTCTGTTAAAAGTCTTTACTTTCAAGATGTGGTTTAGTATATCTAGGACAAACAATGGCTTGTGGATTTGTCCTTGGTGGTACATGGTTTTGTATCATCTCTTCTTTCATATATGGGCATGTTTTCTTAGATGATTTTATGCCTGAGAAGTCCAGTTTTCAATTTTGATGAACTCCGACCCATTGTTTTCAGTGGTCTGTCCTTGTGATATAACAAGGGTTTGTGTTGAGATATGTTTGGCCGCAGTCACTTGATTAAGTGTTTGGGTGTGGGTTGGCATTTACAATGACAAGGGGGCTCCACAAGGGTTAACCCAAATTCAACCACTCAGAGAATTTGGATGAAACAATAACAAATCTGTGATTTGTCTGTGTGTGTCTGAAGATGATCCTCCTTGGGAGTGTGCCCCTATTATAACATAGCTAAACAATGTAATCTTTCCTTTGTATGGACTCCACGTGAGGCTAATTGTGCTGCTCATTGGACAGCGAGGGCCTTTTTAAATGGAGTTCTTCCCTCCAATTGGGTGATCAATCCCCCAGTTGGCTTATGTAAGGCTTTAGCCTTGGGCCAGTAATGATATTTTTGCATTTCCTAAAAAAAAAAAAAAAAAAAAAATCTGTTATTTTATTTGGAAATTAATTTCTCAAGTAACTGTAATACATTATTCTGTTAAATTAAAGAGAGATGTTACAATGTACACCCTAAAAAAGGTGCATATAGTAGACCTTTCATAACTTTTCACAAAATTTTGTAACTTAGGCCTCGTTTGGGAACTCTTTCATTTAGCCAAAAAGTCAAAAAGTTGTTAAAAAAGTCAAAAAGCCAACGATCCATACTAAAAAGTCAAAGACTCTCTTTTCTCTCTACTTTTTACACATCTTTCTGTAAAAAATCAAAAAGTCATCCTAAATATATTAATTTTTTTTAACTCATATTTTAGTCAAATAGTCAAAAGTTACTAAATTAATCTGTTTTCAAACGAGGCCTTAAAACCAAAATATCATAACTTTTTCACTATAAAAATCGTAACTTTTTTTCTTTGAAAAATGTCATAACAAAATCTTAAAGTGTCATAATAAAAATTACAAAATATCATAACATTATTATTTTTAACTTTAAGGTGAACATCATAAATTTACTATTTATAACTTTATTACAAAATGCCATAACATACATCACAAACAATCATAACATTCATCATAAAAAAAATCATAATTTTTTTATAATATGCACCATTTGAAAGAGTGCACATTGTAAATTTCTCCTAAATTAAATATCATTGTTATTGAATAATAGTTAATAAATTTTTAAGTTTTTGAACAATTGCACGATTGAAAATGGAATAACATACACTCGTAAGAGGTTATTTCCAAGACAATAATGTTGATAGAAATATTAACATCATTTCAGCTGATGAAAAGGTTTACATACATGCATGCGGTTTTATAGGTTTAGGTGGTGCAGATAAAGGTTGTTTAAAAAGTGTCACTATTTATTAGTATTTTTCTCAGTAATTTTCACTTTATTTTTTTGCGGTTTGTCTCGTGCAGATAACTTTATTGTCTTCTAGAAAAAAACACATCACCCTTTGTAGTTTATGAATCAAAGTGTATTGTTAACATTTTCATCCAAAGTAAGTTTTCTGGTTTTCAGGTGAAGTGCATGTTAATTGATATTGTATGTGCAATGAGAAGGGATCGACTTTGGAGGTAATTGCATGTTAATTGAGAAGGGATAGACTTTGGAGGTGGCCTGGGTTGGATGCGGTTGCGTTTGTGGGAAGGCATGCAAAATGGGTGGGAATTATTAGCCTCTTGTATTTAGTTGGTAGGTGATAGGGAGCAGCCTAACTTCTGGAGTTGATCAACGATGTGCGCATTAGATAACATTTTTCCTAAAATTGCTTGCATTGTTCTTGATAGGAAAGTTTTGATTAGTGACTACTTCCATTTTAATGGTGGCCAAGGTTTTTGGGACGTGGCATTGCTAACGGATATTATGAAAGGGCGTCGGAGAAATTCTATTTGAATTCTTCAGTTGGTGGTCTTCGGGTTTCAAAACTTGGCGATGATCTTGTCTACATAGAACACAAAATGAGTGTTTCCAGTCGCGTTACTTAGTTGCTTTTCTTAAAGACAATATTTGCACCCATCAATCAATGTGCAAAGGGAATTGTAACAAATTCGCGTTACTTAAATCACTTTTCTAAAGACAATATTTGCACTCACCAATCAGTGTGCAGAGGGGGTTGCAACAAATTCGCCTCTTGGATACAATGAAGCTTGATCTAAGAATCAAGTCTATCAGCAACTGTACTGACGGCAGTAGATCCAAATACTCTTGATATAATATTAATTTCACAGCCTATTTATAGGTCTTGATGCATCTAATTAAATGGACATGTCTCTTGATTATATTCAATTAGATTTAACCGTTGGATCAATGATCTACAATGTGGATCAATCACACACCAAATAGATGCCTTGACTAGTCACACCTGATCGTGATCGGGTGCTATCTCATCCATACGATCGTGTGCTTCTCCAATCAACGACTATGATTAGATCAAATCGTTCTAGATCGGACACGCAAATGTTCAATCGGATGCCACATCACCAAAGTCACATCGGATCCATGTTATTGCTCCAACTTGTCCAAAGCAAATAGAAAAGCGCCCTTATGATGCTGATGTGTTTGTGCAAAATACGCCATCAAACGCCACATAACCCACGCCATGCGCGGGTGTGCGAATGGTCCTTGTAGTGTGAGTGCATGCACACTAGCATTCATTCCATAATTTCATATTCAAAAGAATATTTTGTATAGCATTTTATTAAGTGTTTCATGTTTTCCTCTCTTTCTAATGTGAGACAAAATCTCCAAACTTATTTTTAGCTTTCCAAAGAAAAACTATGAAGGTTTTGAAAATACTAAAAAAACTAAACTATTAATTTTGAAAACCATTTTAAAAATTTCCCAACATTATATTCATTTTGTCTTGAGGATGAGGGAGATCTATTCGATGATCAATATCTTGGAATGACATTTTTAACATACGATTTTAAAAAACCCTTTATCTACTAGTATTAATTAATAATTATTGTTAAATTATATAGATTCACCAAGTATCACAGATTTAAAAATATATATATATATATATATATATATAAATGGTTGCATCACGTACACCTTTCTATCTATGGAACGTGGGATTCAATGTATAAAATTTAAAATTTTCAACAAAATATAACAAATAATTTTGGTCTTTCACAACTAGTGTCGACAAATGGCCTTTATATACATTTTTAATGTTATTTTTCACCTTTTATATCCATAGAAATTGATATTCTAGTTTACCCTTTATTTTTTAAAAAATTATTACAATATATGTTCGCCCCCATTTGAATCATGTGGTCGTCCTTACTTGCCTTGTTTGATGTTTTTTTTATTTTATTTTTAGATTGGACCTTGTTTGATGGTGAGTGGGTATTCCCTCAAATAGTTGATGAACCACTTTATTCTTGGAGGGGAGTTCTGGTTGGGGGGGAGAAAGAAGGCGTCGTGTTTGATGTGGTTGATTTGCCCGGAGAGAAATAGAAAAAATATATATATATATATATGAAAGAGGAAGCTTTTTGTGTTATCAGAAGTAGCTTTTCATCGACATTGTATAGTTGGTCTTTAGGTGTGGTTAATCCATCTTTGAACCTATTTTTGAATTCTTTTTTAACTAAAAAAAAAAAAAAACAAACAAACAAACATACAAACAAATGATATATGAGAAATTTGGTACACGGATTACACTCCTTTGACATAATTTTATTTTACTTATAGTAAAATAAAATAATCAATAATGTAAGTATAAAGAGTCAAAATTGTTAACTAAAAGCTCTATATAAACTAGAATTTACGAAGATAAATTACACTTTCACTCAAATTTGACTATGATTTTCTCGTGTTTTAATTGAAATAATTAAGTCCTTAGATACCTATTTCAATGCAATTTTCTCATTATTTACCTTAGAAACATTACGATGCGGTTTTCTCATTATTTACTGTTAAAAATTGGATATAAAATGCTCGCATGAGATAGGACGTGAGCATGTATTAGGAACATTACTGTGTGTGCTGTTTTCTGGTCACACTGCCAACCAGGTACTCAGCTAGAGAACATCGACAGAATAGATTGTGCCCGAACGACCTGTAACAGAAGGAAGAGACTCCGGTAGTGGTTCTTCCACTCGGGGGGACTCCGACGATCAAGTCAACTATCTCTCTAAGATAGCAAAAATGCTTAACTAACTATTCAGAATATGAAAAGCGTACCTTAGACCCACGAGGGTGCCTTACTTTTATAACCAATACTGACCTGATCCCTATAGAAGTCTAGCTTTATGGACTCTGCCTCAATGCTAATCTTGGACTCCCAGTTAGATTGGGATAAACCCTCTAACTGAAGTTCTCTCTCATTTTAGGACTCTTGTCCCTTATCCGCTTATCCCGAATTTCGGTATCTTCACCTTGGCCACGTGTTGTCATTCAAAAATTATGTCCCCACAATTGCCCCCTAGGTTCTATTACCTCGGTATTCTGAGGTGATGGAACATATATCGTTTCTTCCATTTAGCACGTCGGCTAAGCTCGCTTTGTCCTTCATTACCGAGGTCATCATTCATCGGCTCAATACGACCAAGACTTAGTTTATTTTCATCAATGCTTCGAACCAATAACCAAGTTTGTTCAAGTTTCTCAACCGAGATCGTCCCTCTACCTGAGGTCCTGTTCCATTAAATCAAGAACTCCAAGAGTTTTAACACGCGTATGAGCTGTTACGCACAATATTTCAACCATTTTTGTCACGTGTCTTTCCCCTACTGAGCCGTACCTGACACACAACATTAAGTCGTATCGCATTTGCGTGCGCCGTCTGACAAGCACGTCGTCCTAGGCACACTAATTGCCATTTTGCTGCCATTATGCGTGTTTGATCAAAATCACTTCCCTCTCTATCTCTGTCTTTTCACTTTTGCAAACATAATTTCTCTCTCCGCTCTGAGCCTTTCTCTTTGGAAATTTCTCAAACTGCCATTTTCGTTCCTTCGAAGCTCTCTGCAATCACTCCGTTCGTCTCTTCCGGCGAAGCTTTCTCCACTCTGCTCTACCTTTTTCCACCATCAGACTCCGGCGAATATTATATCGGCGTCAATCTTCCTGGTAAGCCACTGCATCTCTTCGTTTCAATTTAA